GAAATATTATTTTTATCATTATGAACATAGTACAGGTAAGATTTTTAAAGTATGAGAGTGCAATTTCCAGGACACCTTGAGGGCATTCAAAAGGTTCTCGCCTCGGCCCCAGGTGGGGCTTAAACCGTGTGGACTCTCACGCATCTCTTACCGCCAAATTCTACATCCGCCGCAGTTGTGTAACTGTAAACCTTCCTCCTGTCTTTCGTATTTTTTGATCCACCGCCGATGGCCCTCTTGTCCATAAACTCTGTTGAAATTTACATAGTACGAATCCATCGGTAATTTTCCGTCGATTTACAATCAGTTGGAACGGGTTATGGAAAAGAAGCCTGCTTCACAACTACACAACTATTCACATTCGTAAAGAAATCCAATCTTTTTAATCTTCACTTACCATTATCATCATTATGCAATTTAATTATTCTTCTTGCCAGCAAACCTTGAATGTAGGCCTACATATACGTACGCTTCTGATATTCCCGAGTCTACAGTTCAGACACATTTTAAATACGTCATTGTTACTCGACTTTTTTTAGACAAGACTTGTGATTCAACGTGCATTTCTTGGGCGTACACAAGTGACGATTACTCACAATGTTGGTGTGACTGCAGATCTCGTAAGTTTGACTTTTGATTACAATATTCTTAATGAACGGCTAATCTATTTATTTATATTCACTTCTTTTATTTCAATTCAAATATGCAAAAACATTAATACACTGTATTTGAATAAAACATAATTTCATATGGCAAGTGGCTAAATAGTTTTAGCAACGCAAGGGAAGGGACGATACATAAAGACAGCAGAACAATTACACATTAAAAAAACATTTTGAGTACATAAGGTAAATATAAAAATATAAATAATAGTAACGAAAGGATCAATGATGTAATTGTCTACTAGTCAAAGGTAACGATTGAGTTTTGTCGGTGGAGAGAGCTGGTGTGGTTGTGGGTTCTCTTGTTACATGTATAAAACATTAAAACGTTTATTTAAGTAGACGTTACGAATTACACATTTTACTAGAGTCATCAGGTGTATATGTTCGTATGCAGCATCATTCATGACATATTTTTTTCAATCAATACATTATATGTTGAATCAACAGTTAGGAAATTTAAATTCGTAATATTTATAATAGACAGATGTGTGGCTTTCTTGAATGTTAAAATGTGAGTATATGAACGTCGAGATTACTGTCGATAAAAATAAAAATTATTCATGACAACTAAAAGAAGACGGGTTGCACGTCATCTAGTTCATTTATTTCTTTAGTTACGTAAAGTAAAAAATCCAGTCTTTAGATCATGTTTAATGATTTGGAAAACATAGGCCCTACTTTATAGAGAGACTAGTAGCCTAGGTTCCAGGCCCTAATTTTGGGTTACTCACTTTTTTGCGCTTATTGCGCGCCATACCTAATTTATTTGGCGTCCATACAAATTTTTTGTCTCAAAATTAACTTGCTCGTTGGTGGCGCTATCCAGAATGAGAAAAAAATAATAAGGGACTTGTGCCAAGTGAGACTATAGGTACAGTGTTTGATAGCAGTTTTATATTGTTTTTTTATAACAAAAATATTTAAAAACCACTAAACTTATATGAAACAGCAATAGTATTAATTGGTAGTGAAAAAAGTCCATCACATTCCTTGGAAAACGTTTATAGTTTGCTTTACATTAATATTAGCCTTACATGTCAGAAATAAAATATTTTGTATTGGGAATAGGCATTTTGTCCAACATTTGCAGTCTCTGCTTTAAACCTGTGTTTCCTCGTTCAATTTTTCTACCCACCAATGGACATTTCCAGAGTGTCAATCGAACTAAACGCGCGTGTCCTACAAACACACATACTGTCCACTAACACATACCGTATGCTTACGTACCGTACATTACTTTTTTTGTTGGGAAAAAAAGCAAATGCGGAAGTAGCCCTACAGCTACCTGTCCGGTTAAAAAAAAACCCCCCGACGGTAAAGTAATTATTTTGATATGATAGGCATTTACTTTGTGAGATCGAGACTTCGAAGATCTACAGTATGTTGTTACAGTTTTCAAGACCGGTAGGTTAAAAATCCCAGATATTTATTGCAGACCACGGTTTTCCAATGTGTACATAGGCTTTGAAATAATGGTAAAATAATATAGATATATAGGCCTATCTAAATTTTGGGGATGAGAGGGTTCGGCGTAGTCTCACATTACTTGAATATGCATCTCTTGTAGGCCTATGGGAGAGGTTAACTACTGGCCTAGCGTGAGATCTAAGATTTTATGTGAGTTTTGCATAAATTTGTATGAGCTAAGTGATTAAAATTCGACTTTCATATCCATTTTGTAAAATTAATTAAATAAAGTTTTATCGCCAAAATTATATATTATGTGTATTCAATTAAATTTTATTATATATCAAATGGCACCATAACCTAAATTGCATGATGTTTACATAATAAACTCACTAAAGCACAACAAAACTAGCTACAAAAAAAAAAAAAAAAACAAAAAAACTTCACATTTTAAATTTAGTATTATAAAAAAAAAATATACACACTTGTATGCTTAGCTACTGATTTATTTGAAATTTGATTTCAGTATAATTTTAACATAATATTTATTTAATTTGCTGTTGCGCTGGTTGTTTTTGTTGTAGGTCTATTGTAGACTGTGAAATATTACTAGCTATATACATAGATGAAATGTAGCCGAGTGGTAAGAGTGCGGTAAAGTTAATGATTCGTTTCGGTTTCGTTCGTAGATTCTTTGGACTAGGACATTTATTTGTATTTTAGGCCTCCGGTTTCTTTACATAACAAAGCAACATTTAGAGAACGGAAGAAATTAAATCACGTCCTCATTATTTAAGCTAAGTAAAAATATTTTGGTAAATTATATAAAACATTACAATCATTTGATGACATTAATCGATAGAATTTAAAAAATGTTAGATTTATATAAAAGTTGAGGAGTTAAATGATAGTTTATACACAACAATACCTCCGAATAGGCCTACTTTAGGAACAGGAATTGATGTTATGTACTGAATCTTAATAAATAAAGTGCCAGTATAATGACAGACTGGCGCCAGGGTCACCACAATACTTTGTCGCCACAGGAATGAACTTGTATAGGCGACCCGAAAATCATGACCCTATGTAGTGGTCAAACTGGAGCCTGTTTAATTTCAAGTAAGGTTCCAGGCTAATAAATTACGTACAGGGATCAACGTTGTGCTAATAATAAATGTACCCAATCATTATAGAGAATAAGAGATCTAATTACAAGAGTATAGCTCAGTATAAATAATAATAAGAGTAATGTGTAAATTTCGTCACCATTGATGTTTTAGCACTTGCTAGCATTAGACATATTTTTACTTTCCCACCCAACCATAATCATCTTCCCATTCCAATACCGGGATTCTCATGTAATATCGGCTGGTTCTTATCAAAATTATTTTCCCCAATTCAATATACTAACGGGGTTATAATGGTTCATAGTAAATGAAAACATCCCTCTGGGCCTCTACTCGGGTCCATCGGGAATTCCCATGATTCGCCAGCAAGAAAAAACGGTATTGCATGAGTGGCCCTCAATAAACCAAACAGTAGTTAATTAAGGTATTTCTGTTTTAATTTTATATACTGTAACTTAGCAATATATAAATTAGATTATAAGAATTCGTTATAATAAATTACAACGATCTAAAAATTTAGAGTGTTATATGTATAAAAGAAAGATGAAATTAAGTTTTTCCTAATATCATTATAACTTAAACATACTAAAGTAAAATGAAATTCATCTTCTATGCATACGAGTTGACTTCCTGCACGAATAAAATCGAAACTGTACTAGGTTTGGTTAACAGGAGCTTGTGCTTCCATTAGGTCGTTCCATTCTTAGAAGAAGCCTTATTAACGAAGAAAGCGAACTTGTCATTAGCTATAGTATCCTAGGTCTAAACAAAATCGTTTATAAGGTTAGAAAATGTTAATCGTATTATAGTAGTGACTCTATTTCCACGTTTTAATTAATGTTATTTATCTGTTAACATTTTATATATATCTGTCTCTTATACACATCTAGATGTGTATAAGAGACAGCTCACGCATCTCTTACCGCCAAATTCTACATCCGCCGCAGTTGTGTAACTGTAAACCTTCCTCCTGTCTTTCGTATTTTTTGATCCACTAGGCTTACGTTCATGGGACTCCTTCGAAGCAAGCGATCCAGTTGCCTTTTCCCAGTACCGCTCATCTATTTTTATTCTGTGGGAAATTTTTAACCCATGTCTAATCTGAATATTTATTATAGTTCGCATTCTGGAAGCTTATTTACTTTTTTTGGAAATCTTGCAAAATATGGTCATAGGTTAAATATCACATTTCCGGTCACACTTCGAGAAAATGTTACATTAAAGCAAATAGAAATGTGCATGTTCTGAACAATTTCAAAAGAAAGTAAGTCTGCACGACCAGTGGTTGCCAAAATATGCTGTATCTCTATCCCTAATTTGCATATTTAAGCTAATTTGCATATAATATAGGTGTATATTTTGGATTTCACTAACCTTGCATCAGTGTATTTTTTAATTGATAATTAAATTCTTATTGGCAATTTATTTCATTTCAAATGCTAGGTTTTATAGACCTAATTAAATCGTTAATTGCATTAATAAAAGAAATGCCAAAAATAACTAAAATAGTTAAAATGGCGGCGATTTTGGATTTAAATTTTGCAAATTTTAAGTTAAATATAGTTTTTATTTTTATTGCCACTTATGTTAAAGAATATTTAATATATTATTAACTTTTAATATCATAAACGTACAATTATTATTGGTAATTAAATGTTGAAATTGCTGGCTACCCCCTTTGCGAAAAAAAAACACTTGCGGCACATACTTTTCATATTCAGTGATGTCTATTCTATAACATAGCCTATCCAATTTTTTGAAAATATAGCAAAAAAAAAGCAACCAATGAAAATTTCCTGGACTATGAGACAGACACACAGATAGACATACACATACACATACAGACAGACGAAGCTTAATTGCAATACCCTCTTTCCCCTTTGGGTGGCGAGGGAACAGACAGACAGACGGATCTTATTGCAATACCTTCTTCCCTCTTTCGGGGGTCGAGGGTAGTATGGTATTACAATAGCGTACGTCTCTCGGGGTGTGTGTGTATGTGTGTGTGGGGGTGGGGGTGTAGGTGTGTGTGTCCTTCCGGATGCATAACTCAAAATCTACTGGATCGATTTACTTAAAATTTTCACAAATTGACAATATGTTATGTGTATCTTGGTCCTCCTCAACTTTGGTGCTGGTCGGAAGTAAGATGCATGTTTTAGAATGTTATTTATATTTCTTCCGGCCGCAACAGAACCAACTCGAGTGGATCGTTCGGCCTGTTTTGGCTAGGCCGAGCCGACTCAAGCGGATCGACCGTGGGCCATTATTTTTTTCAGTACATAGATATGGCACAACAAAGCGAAGGCTTGTAATTTCAGATTATCTTGTTTCAGTTTGTGATCCACCGTGTATTAACGGGCGGTGTGCATCAAATGGTAATTCCGCCTACTGTAGTTGTTACTGGCAATATGACGGCGACAGTTGCAGCGATCGTAAGTTTAACTTTTGATATGAGTATTGTTTATGAATCGTGAGGTACTGCTCTATATCCTATTGATGCCAGGGGCGGATTTAGGAGGGGGCCGGCTAGACCCCGGCCCTCCCTTTTGGGGGATAAAAAAAAGGAGATAAAAAAAGGAAAAAAAGAAAGAAAAAGAAAAAAATGATAGCCCAGAACGCATCAAAGGTTATTTTCGGGCGTCTAGAATACAAAAATTTCTCGGGGGCATGCCACCGGACACCCTAGGACAGTGTTGTCTCGATTGGCCCAACTTTCGCACCCCCCCCCCACCTTTTGGACATCTATGCAACAGCCCCTGGATGCTAGTTTGTGTGATTTTTCATTTTCTGAATATTATTAATATATTAAAAAAATAAAATCATTACAATCATCATCACATTTGCCATTTGGTTATTCTTATTGCGACGCCGCATCATGTAGTCTTACATATTGTACTGCATACCGATTATAAAATATTTATAAACTGGAGAAAAACGGAACACAGAAAGACGCATGGAAGATTTCTATTAGAGTTGTAATCACATTTCCTTTAAAACCTTAAATTATATATTTCGATTTTGGCGAATGCGATCGACTATGATGATGATGGAAATGATAAAGAGAGTGATGATACGGATGATAATGGTAATGTATTGATTGATGTATTGTCTTTTTATTGTTTGTATCATAGCAATTTGTTATCCACAATCAGTGGCGTAGAAAAATATTTTTCATTGGGGAGGGGGGATGATTAGCCAGTGTCGTAAAACTGTCTCGGGCAGGGGGAAAACTTCCCCTCCTCTGACGGTTTTTACCGGGCTGACCAAGCCGTCGTACTGGGCTGGGTAGGTAAAGAGAGAAAAGAGGAAAAGAAAAGGAAAGAAAAAGAGAAGAGAAAAATAAAGACAAGAAAAAGGAAGATATCATAATGACCAGACTCACAAAAACCCCTTCTCCACTTCAAAAAGTGTCATAACTCCTTTGATCTATGCTGCCCGATGGCGTAACCACTGGGGGACAAGGGGAAAATATCTATCTTTGAAAAATCTTCCCCGCCCCTTTATAAATGCCCTTTCATCCCCTGAAAGTGCCTAAAAACCTCAAATTCCGCGGGCATTTCTTGTTGACATGGCCCAATTTCCTCTAAAAATTGCACATTTTAGGGAGTTTTGATCAATTCCAACGAAATTAGAATTAAAAACACAGGGGGAAAAGGGGAAAATATCCATCTTCGGAAAATCTTTCTCCACCCCTTGACAAATTCTCTGAAAGTGCCTAAAATTCTCAAATTCTTTGCGCGCATTTCTTGTTACGGTAGGCCAATTTCCTCTATAAATTGCTCATTTGAGGAGTTTTAATCAATTCCGACGAAATTAGAATTAAAAACACAAAAATATTTTGCGCGCTTGGCGCGCAATTTTTAGGGCTTTTTTAGTTTTATCCTTATAAGTTATTTAAACACATAATATCCCAAACTCAAGAAAGACAAATTTAAGATAGATCATTTTAACCTAAAAGAAGGGCCTCAATGTGTATTGATGTTG